ATAAATGTTAATGGAGCTAATTTTGACATTGTACAACGTATATCGATAGATTCATAACATGTACATGTCATACCAACGAACATATCACATGCTCGCGTTAATGAAAATGATAAAAGTGTTAAATAGAATATTATAATTGACATTTTAAATCTAAAATATAAAAAAATGTATATCCTTTGGATAAAAAAAAAACAATTTACATTAGAAATGTTAATATTATCAAAGAGTCCTTCTATTGTTCATTATGTCATCAATATACAAGAGAAATAGTACTATAAAAAATAATTACGATAACGGAAAAGTGCCATGCAATAGATCTATCGACTGAGCCTAAATGTAATAAAAAAAAAAGTGTTGTGAGATGCACAATCGATACAATCATCAATGTTATACATGCAGATGTTGTGTCATCATCATCATCATCATCATCATCGGGTGTTATATTGAAACAATATAAATGATTTCTTTTTCTTCTTCTTTTTCTTTATTGATATTATTTCATCATATTCTTTTAACAATTTCTTTTTTTACTTTGTATTTAAAAAATTATTAGAATACGGCGTTCGGCTTGAATGAATGCATGTACGATTGAATGAATGCCATGCAAGTTCATTTTTCCTTATCACAGAGAACAGGTCAAGGTCAAGGTGAATACTATTCACTTACTAACTTCAAACATGCATATGAGCATGTATTGTTTTAGATTACTGAGTATATAATACCTGTAACAAAATGTTCAAATGTGTGAAAAAAAAAGAAAGTGACACGTCTCGACTCTCATTTAATTCTTTATTATTAATATATTCCGATTGTACTCTTCATCTTCTTTTTTTTTTTTTTTTTACTTCTTCCTCTCTTCAATTTATAATTATATAGTTCGAGATATCTCAACAGCAAAGTGAAATGTCTGTTCAATAAGAATGATGATAAGTGTCTCATCTAAAAAAGTTATTCAAACAATAACAATAATAATCGCTCACCCATTCATTGATTGAAATGGAATTGCCTTCATCTATACAACGATGGTCATTTCTTCTTTTTCTCTTCCTCTCTATTCATATACATATATATGAGTATGTATGTGTCTGTGTGTCATTTTACTTTTTCTTTCTCTCTTATGGTTTCTACTTACTTCGCACGACAACAACAGCAGCAATGAATGTTGATGATGATGCAACAATCAATTCTCTGCAGCTGTTCTTAACTCTGTTCAACTTTACTTGTTCTTTTTTTTCTTTGTATGTTGATTTTAAACGAAAAAAAAACCATTCAATCGAAAAAAAAAATATATATATACACACACAAACACGCCGGAAATTATTAAATCTTTTCTCAAGCGTGAAATTTAGTCATCATTAACTATTTAACTAATTGATGAGAAAGTATGATTATATTGAGATAAAATATCCTTGCATACTCTCCAGATGCATATGTCAAGGGAGATCCAACCGTTCCTTGTCAATCAACATATGTCTTACCTTCATCACTTATGTAACTTACCTGATGAAAATTTGTTTGTATCTGTTTTTACTTAGCGTAAAAATAAATGTGATTATTAGATTTTGAAAGTTCCTTTTGTTCGGTTGAATCTCAAAGGAATAATGATTCTAATATGTATTGACAACAGACGCTTACATTTCTGGCATGTCATGACCAATAAATATATGTATAGAGAAAAAAAGAAAGAAATCAAGAACAACTAAACTTTTTTTTTTTTTTTCTATATGTCGACGTGTGTACAGATGAAGCATTAAAGGCTCTGTACTAGTCCAAGATAACCTTCATCTTCTTTCGTAAATTGAATAAAGGAAAAAAAAAATAATACATACTAGGCATGAAATCGAGACATTGCGAAATTATGAGAAGTATTTTCAAGGTTTTATATTCAATCAGAGATCTATTCATCTTTTTTTTTTTATGAGAAGTTTATTTGAAAAGCAAAAAGAAAAATGATAACGATATATTCGCAACATTACATCGAAAGATTGGACACGCTTATATGATTTGTTGTTACTACCACTTACTATTAATATTATATTCATTAATTCTGAATGAACTCGTTGACAAAACGACAATCTTAATGGACATAGTGAACGCAATCACAATGATTGAAGAGAATAAGTAAAACGATGTAGAGTTTTAGCAGACAAAAAAACCGAAGCGGATATTAGATTTTACAATAAATCATCTAATGGATACACAACATTTACTATCGATGATTGATACTGATAATTCATATTGATGCTACTACTTTTACTACCGTTGTTCATCTAATAATACTCAAATGCAGTAAGTATGTTGATTCCCTAGTGAATATGCGCACAGACATATATATACATACTTTTCATCTGCATATATCAATTCCACCGTTGAACTACAATCTCACAAGTATGATATAAAAGAAAAAGGCTCAGGAGAGAAAGAAAAATTGAACGTATTAATTCTGATTTTATTATTCAGAGCAATAAATTTATAACTCACTAAAAATACTTTAATGATTACGGTTGATTAAATATATTTTGTTTTTTCTTACCAAACATCAATTTATCGAACAATATAATCTACATAATTGACTCTTTTTTAGGCGTATGTGTGTATATCTGCTTGCATGAACGCCGAAAGAGAAATGAGAGAAAGAGAGATAATACGCATTAATAGAGATGCTCGATGATGAACAAATGAGAACATGTCTCGAGGATTAGACTAATATGTAGTTGTTTATTATTTGACTAACGATTGAGAAATGATGACGATGGTTGTTACCATCAAAACATAATTAAACTCACCTGTCTAAATCAAAATCTATCTAACAATTAAACATTAATTAGTCATTTGTAGGTATGCACAAGATCAAAGAATGTATTCAATTGATGTGAAGACAAAAAAAGAATTGTTCGAAATAATGAAGGATTGATGTGTAAAGACAACAATTAATTCTTTAATCTTGACATAATTTGTACACTTTCGTAACAAGATACATCACTATCTTATGTTAAATATACAATTGACATTAACACGCATTTGTTAGAAAGAATGCCAAGAAGTTTGATATAAACAAATGTTCATGTTTCTTATGGTTCTTCTACTTATCTTCTATATTTAGTTGATTGATAATAATATAAACAAAATCTATGTATATATATATCTATCTATTTATCTAATCAAACAGAAGAACAGGAGTTTTTTCTTTTTATGCATCATTTAATCTAATTGATATTATTTAATCATTTAAAGGCTCAAATCTCATGATAACATGACTCATCTAATATGAACTTCTTACATCATAGATGATGAGTGCAATGTATTCATGTTTTTTTTCCCGTTTTTCTTTTTTTTTTTTTGATGACATCAGATGAAGAACTCATCATTCCAGATATACATAATAAATCATTGATGTTAGATAGTAGACAAGAGTGAAAAGGATCGATGACAGCATATAGTTTGCATCACAAATTTGTTTTTTCTATTCAACTAGCGCTTATCTGGTGAACAGAAGCTTCAAGCAAAAATAATGACTTCCTTTTTTTCTCGCTTCATATGAGCTATTCTATCAAGAGAATCGAGACTTATAACAGATAGATACCTAATCAAAAGAAATAATGATTTATGAAAAGATTAAAAGATAAGATGTACATGAAAATTGAATTTCTACTTTTCTAACAAAAAATAATTCTTATATATTTTGTTTTAAATTTTGATATAATGATCAATATAACCAACAAACTCTTGTTTTAATAGTGTCATCTATAAAGTATCCAGAGAATATATATATATATTAGTGATTTGAATAGTCTATGTAGTTTTATATCAAATTCTCTGAGTACAAAATATCAACACTTAAGGCCGCCCCCCGCTCCAAAAAAAGTCAATTTTCGAGAAAAAACCGAAATTGAGATAAATGCATAGGAAGATAGCCCATGATGCGCTCTTTCAGAAATGATATAGGTTTTTTTCCAAAAACGCTTCTTTGGCCGAAATTTTTGATGATTTCTGTGATGCCCTCCACAAAAAATACTATTTTTGCGAAAAAAATTATTTTTTGGTATAGTACATAATTTAAGAGTTTAAAGATGTTCACCATGTCATAAAGATCCTTTTTATACATAACTCATTATTATATGGATTATTGGTAGTTAAGTTCTTTAGATAAATGCTAAAAATTTCAACAAACTATAAAATGTCAAAAAAACAATCTTGCAAAAAATCTTTTTCGTTTTCTCGAACGTGAATCCCGAATTTCTCTTTAATGGTCCATAGAATGTATTAATATTTTTTTTTGTTTGAAAGAGCGTGTCAAGATGCAGGGCACCACGGTGTCCTTTTTCTGAAATACACTCTTTTTATAGTCAATATAATGGCAATGATATAATTTTCCCACCATTTTTTGACAAATTTTTGAGCAATGAAACTTGTCCCCTCTTTTTTTCGATTAAAAAGGAGGTATTTAAGAAAAGGAGAACGTAGTGCCCTGCATCCTGACACGCTCTTTCTAACAAAAAAAAATATTAATACATTGTATGGACCGTTACAGAGAAATTTGGGATGCCTTTTTCTCTATTAAAAAAAGGAGAACGTAGTGCCCTGCATCCTGACACGCTCTTTCTAACAAAAGAAAAATATTAATACATTGTATGGACCGTTACAGAGAAATTTGGAATACCTTTTTCTCTATTTTTCGATCTTGTTTCGTCAATATCTCCCCCAAATGAAATGGTTTTGGGCTGAAAATTTTATTATAGACTTCTCTTAATGTCTCCAACATATCCTGTAAAGTTCAGCTGCTTCGAATGTTCCCGGGCCGAGATCGATTTTTGAGGGGGGGGGGGGCTTAATGTAAGTTAAACACTGATAAAATGAATAGATTGTATCATATTTTTGTCTTATTAATTCAATGATGATTATTTTCAGTTTATTCGATGTTTACTACAAACAACAATAACTTTTTAATAAATATTTCAATTTTATTTTTTCTTGTTTTATATACATTTACACCGGCAAGATTATTTACGATATTTTCTGAATAGTTCATGTTTTGGTTTATTAGATCGAGCTGCACCATTCATAGTTGGTTTCTTTTTAACTTCCATATATGTTGTTTCATCAGCACCTGATAATGAATTCATTGTACCAACACGTCGATCAACGGATGTCTAAATATGTTAAAAATATAACATTGTTTTAATGTTTAAAATAAAATAAAATTACTGTTGATGAAGTAACTTGTCCTGAAGATTCTTCTTCTTTATCTTCACCACGATCTGTTGCTAGAAGAACTTGTTCAAGTAATTGACGTTGTTCGTCTTTGGTTGAGAAGAATAAATTATCTTCATCACTAGCTAATCGTGTAATAACTTTATATGAATAACCTTGATTAATAAGAAAACTTTGTCGTTTAGCTGAATAATACATTTCAACTGTATCTTGAGATACAAGTGAATAAAAAAATGCATTATATTCTTCAACAATAGTTCCTTAAAAATAAGAAATTTTTATTTTTCTTCTTAAATAATTTATTATTAAATTAACCTTTTTTAGCTCGTAAAATTCGACCAAGTCGTTGAGCTTCTTGTCTTCTTGAACCACCATGACTTGAAATTTGTATTAATACATTAGCATCAGGTAAATCAAATGATGTATCAGCAACCTAATTTTTTGTTAAATTTAAAAAAAAATCGTTTAAAGAAAATTTATTCAAATTTACTTTTGAAACAAATATTGTATTTATTCTTGGATTATGTTGAAAATTTTGTAAAATTTGAATACGTTCACTTTGTGATGTTTTACCACAAATATACGGTCTAAATATATATATATATTCTTTATTCGAAAAAAGAACACGCCCAACAAGAAAAAAAAAAAACCTTCGCATCATCTTTTTTTTTTTCATTTATCTTACTTGTCTAATTTTTTTGCATATCTTTCTAATGCAAACATACTATCCGAAAAGACAATAATTTTATCATTACGTCTTTCATGATAACGTATTAAAAATTGACATGCACGAAATTTATTTGGATTCATAACACATAAAAGTAAACGTCGATGTTTATCATTTGTTACTGATACATATTCTTGAAAGAAATCCGGTGTCATTTGACACCAAACCTTTTGCAAAAAACAAAATTAAACAAAATTATTTTAAAATAAAAAATATTTACTTCAGCACATTGAACTTTAGCAATATGACCTAAACTTTGTAATTCCATCCAATTAGCTTCATATAATTTAGGTCCAATTAAAAAATTTAAATCTGTTATTTTATCATCTTCTCGAACTAATGTTGCTGTAAGACCTAATTTTGTATGTGCACGTACAATAGTTAATACTTTACGAAATCGTTCAGCTGGTATTGTATGAACTTCATCAAGAATCATTAAACCCCATTCACGATCTTTGAGTAATTTCATAACTTCAGTTGTTTCAGCATTACATCGTTCAGTACGTGCAATCATTGGATAAGTACTAATGCATACACATGAATCTTAGAAAGATAAAGAAAAATTAACTCATTCGATAGGATTATTCATTAGATTGTAACAGATATTGTGTACTAACAGTGACGTATCCAGGATTTTTCAGTATGCTGAATCTTGACTTTTGAGCATGGGACCCAAATGAAACTCATAGAGGGTGATGTTGAGTCCAGATGATGGAATTTTATCAAAAAAAATTTGCATTCGGAGTTTGCGAAAAAAATTAGCATTTTCCTGATCCCCCCTCCTAGGATTTTTTACTGTTAGTATTATCTTGGATTTTAGATNACATGTGGCAAAAATTCAAAAAGTTATAACTCTTGAACGATTACATATTTTTAGACGAAATTTGAAATTTGTCGATGAAATTCGGTATAGCTTCCTATGAAATTCTAAAAATTAAGATGCTACTAACACCGAAAAATCCTAGGAGGGGGGATCAGGAAACTGCAAATTTTTTTCGCAAACTCCGAGTGCAATTTTTTTTTGATAAAATTTCATCATTTGGACCCAGCATCACCCTCCATGAGTTTCATCTGAGTCCCACACTCGGAAGTCGAGATTCAGCATACTGAAAAATCCTGGATACGTCACTGTGTACTAATTGTAATAGATCATCATGTTAACAGGTTTCTCAAAAATATCAAGCTTATTGAACTGTATTGAATTCAAAAAGTTATCTAATTAGGATAATTATTTCTTTTTGCATATCATTACTACTAATATGAACTATAGTTGGAATTCATTCGAATAACAATATAGTTCCGCGAACTGATTAATCGAACTTGACTACCGGTATAGTACTGTTTAATTCAATATCGTGATTTCCTAAGGAAAAATTTATTTTCAAATTTCGACTCGAAACTTTGTATAGAGACAGATATCAATAAAAATGGTTTATTATGAAAGTTTCAAATCAATTTGTGAACCTCTCATGAAATATAAAACTAAACAATAATGATAGGCAAATAAGATATGTCGAAAAATTTTCTCCGAAATCTTTAAGACTAAAATTAATAATGGAATTTTCTAACTACAAATAAATTCTTAAAATATATTTTCTTTAATTACCATTTGGTTTTTCTTTATCATCTGAAGTAAATAATCGTACTTTGGAATCATCAGCTGTTGACCACATTTTAAATTGTTGTTTCCATTGATGAACAGAAACATTTGAATTACACAGTACTAAACAACTTTTATTTATTGTACAAGCTGATGTAACACCAACTAAAGATTTTCCAGCACCTGAGAAAAAAAGAAAAAAAAACGAAATTCTATGTTTTATATTTCGCAAAAATTCTATTGAATTATTACCGCATGGAAGAACAATTAAACCAGATCGTGCACGTCCTACAAAAATCATTAATTAATCTATAAAAAAATTAATTGTTTTAAAAATTTTATTACCATTGCCAAACATTTTTCTTAAACTTTTTTCTTGATAAGGACGTAAAATAGCATTAGGTCGAAGTTCAATATTTAAATTTTTTAAAACTGTATCATGTCGAAAATCATATTCTTCAAGTAATGGATGTTCTAATTCTTGACATCTATATATTTAGAAATAGAAAAATTTGATAGAAAAAAAAAAAAAAAAACGAACTTAAAATCATTACCTTTTTCGTAAAAGTTCAATTTTATTTTGAATAATTTCAAATGAAACAATTTTTAAATCTTCAAGATCTTCTTCATCTCGATCAATTTTTTCATATAAACGTCGAATATCATCAGGTACTTGTTCATTTGTTGTTGTTGGTGTATCAGTTGTTGTACTTACATTTGCTGCAGTTGTTCCAGGAATAACAACTCGAGGTTTCTAAATAGTTATTAAAACAAACAAGCATTTATAATTATCTTTTTATTCATACTTCTGTTATTGTATTTGTATCTAAACTAGTTCCTGTTGTTACTAATCGACATTCTTGAATTTGTGAATCTTCAAGAAGTTTTTTTAAAACATCCTAAACGATAAATAATTGATTATAATATGAAACAAACAAAAAATAATAATAATAAATTAACATACAGGATAAGCACTTTCAACAAAATATCGATTATGTTTTAATACTAATTTTACTTTTGCATAACTTAATGTACATAACTATAATTTGCGAAAAAAGAAAACAATTTTGTTTTTTATTATGCAAAAAAAAAAAAAAAAATTTAATAAAATTATTTTACTTGAATAAATTCAATGATACCATTTGGTACAGATGTTTTACTAAGTCGTTGTAAATATTCAACAATATCTTTTGTTTGTAAACCAACAGATACAGCAGCATAAAGTGAATAAGCTGATAATTTATATTCATGAATATATTCCGGTCGACAAACAGGCTACAATGAAGAAATAAATTCAAGTTAAATGTATTAGTCTAAATACGAACAATGCAGAGATGTATTATCTTGCTCTATTTAGAATCTGAAGGTAGAAAGCTGGTTTTAGGAATCTTCGGGTTTACAATCCTAATAGAGAATTATTTCAGACTTTTGTTAACTATTACCATTGAGAAGAAAACTTAACTATTCTAAACTTATATCCGTTAGTATGTCTGTCTATACTCGCGAAAATAGATGCGCACATATTTTGCTAAGGATAAAATTTGGTAATTTAAATACGATTGTAAAGAATTTTAATTACTGTAACTTTCGATATGAATGAACACTTTGTCAACTTCTTTACTATTGCATTACTCACGAGGAAACCTCTGCAGGTGTTAAATCGCTTTTCGCTCAGGACCATTGCCATTCGATAGGTTCTAGTGAGCAGTGAAAAAGTCTATCTTGGTTTGGGTGCATGGACCTCTGGGACTGAGCTAGTGAATTTTTCCTGTAGGACCCCAGTTTTCCAGCAAATATATTTTTTTGAATTTTGACTTGAAACTTTGCCCACATGAAGACCTCAACTAAACTAGCTTCCATAAAAAATTTCAGAACTTTTGAACAAAGTCTCTCTGAGATATTAATTTTCCAAAAGATGCATGTTTTATACACTGTCTATGGAAAAGCGCCCATATCGTGAAAAATTTATATCTCGGAGAGACTTTGTTCAAAAGCTCTGAAGATTTTTATGGAAGCTAGTTTAGTTGAGGTCTTCATGTGGACAAAGTTTCCGGTCAAAATTCGAAAAAATATATTTGCTCGAAAACTGGGGTCCTGCAGAAAAAATTCACTAGCTCAGTCCCAGAGGCCCATGCACCCAAACCAAGATAGACTTTTTCCACTGCTCACTAGGACCTATCGAATGGCAATGGTCCTGAGCGAAAAGCGATTTAACACCTGGAGAGGTTCCCTCGTCAGTTTAATCAATGATTCAAATGATAATAATGTTAAATTAAGAATTATTATAATATGATAGCGAATAAATATATATCAGGAAATTGAAAAAAAAATCTATTAATGTTTAAAAATAAATAACTAAATACCTCAGCAATGGCAATTAAAAAATCATGAGCATGTTTATAAACCGGTGAAAATGATTCAAGAAAAATATGACCATCTATAAAATGAAGAAAAATTTTTTCAAAAATTTTTTTTGTTAAATATGTATATAAACCTGGTGTAACCCATAATGGACGATTTTCATGATCATTTTTTAATTCCATTTCGGAACGAAAATCTTTTAAACCTTGATTATTTATTCCTATTGTTGATGATCGATATAAATCATCATCTTCAACATCAATTGAATCTTCTAAACGTCGAGATGCTGCTTTTGGAATAAATGTTTCTATAAAGAAAAGAATGTAAATCAAATCTTTTCTTTGAAAATCAATATAATTACCTTCATTAATTTCATCATCATCAAAATTATCATCTTTGACATTATTATCAATACTTTTTAATAATTTTGCTATTCTTCCTGTTGGATCTTTAGATGCAGTTCGTTTACTCATAATTTTTATTCAGGAATATTTTTATGTAGATAAATATTAATTAATCCGTAACTTATTGCTACAAATATAATTATAAAAACAAGAATTAAATCGTATGTTCTAAATGCAGATGAAGATTTTATTGATTGTTTGTCATTTTTCATTACTTCATTAAATCTGAAATAAAACAAAAAAAGATAATGTCAGATATTTACAATATATCATTTATATATTTTTCTTTTGTTTTTTTTTTAAAGAAAAAACTAAACTACACAATAAACAATTTATGTTTTCGTAGGTTCAACAGGTTCTTGTTTAATTTCAACACCTTCATCTTCATAACCACCAACTTGTTCAATATTATTTGCTGAATCTTCATGTAATAAAACATATTCTCTTGTACTAAATCCAAATTTAATAACATCATTTTCTCTTAATTCATAATAACGTTGTGATTCAATTTTTTGATTATTAAGAAATGTTCCATTTGCTGAACCTAAATCAATAATATATGGTATAACACGACGTCCCATTGTACCATCATCACGTTTATAATCCATTAAACGATATTGTAAAACAGCATGTTGTTTTGAACATGATGGATGATCAACTGGTAAATCACAAACAATTCGATCACGACCAATTAAATATGCTGATTGACGATGAATTTGATACATAGGCAATTCCTAGTAAAAACAAAAAAAAAATCATTTTTATTTATTTTTGTTTCAAAAGGAAAGACGGATAAAAATTTCAGCTTGATACATCAAATTAGACTGCAGTTTTCGACTAATTTATTGAGCTCGGGAGGATTTCACATACGCTTTTATTCCTTTTCAATTTATATGTTTTTACAGTCTTATGATGAAAAATCAATTTCAACTAACCTGATCGCCTTTGAAAACATAAAAACGCCATCGTCGTTTTGGTTTTCGTGCTTCGATAGGTTCACTATATTTAATAACAACGCCTTTGTATGTATTTGTATCTTTAAGTAATGCACCGGATAGACCAAAATTTGGTTTTTCTTTTTCAATAGGATCTTCTTTTGGTTTGTCTTTTTCTGTTTGTTTTCCCCATTGATAATTTTTTTCTTCTTTTACACGTGGATTACGACGATTTGTTAAAGAAGATTCATATGATTTCTGTGGACGATGTCGATAAGAATCATCATCAGTTGCAGGTTCTTGTTTAACACGAACATCTAAATATATGAAAAGAAATTTCGATGAATTGTAGAGTTTATTTATTCTTACTTGAACGTGATCTATTATCTTCATGAGATTGTTCTTGATGTCGTCTTTGATAACGTTTTTGACCATCATCAGAATCGGATGATGAATCTCTTTGTCTTTTATTTTTTTGATTTGAACTAGAATTACGATGTGACTTTGATTTAGGTGAACGAACCATATTATTTAAAAATTTTTTGCATATAAAATATTCTTGCCTCAATAATCATCAAATAATAATAATATGAAATATTATTATTATATTGCGAAACTTCTATTTCTTCTTTTGTATTTTTTTATTTGTTCATATCTACAACCTATTGATAGAATGAATTTTTATAGATGACGCTAACATATGTAAAAACATTCATATAATGAAGAATTCATTGAACGAAGAAAAAAAAAAAACGAAATCAATTGTTCACTAATGACACAATTGAAAGTTTGTTATAATCTTTTATCAAGTACATTACTAAATATCTATGGATTAAGAATGTGTATCGTATCATTCATTATTAGTAATTATTACAAATTGTCAACGTAATCATTACTATTAAATGACATTGAACTTTTTTTTTTGCTATTAGCAAACAAAAAAGAGGCGAGATTAATGTTCATGTTTAGATTTTCTTGATGAAAACGAACACGACAACTGAACATACAACATAATCTAATCGTTTGTCTTAGATTAAATTGTCTAGAAAAAAAAATCACTTGTTTTTGTTTGACACTATCTATCGTTCTTGTCTTTTACGCGTTATAACACATTACGTACACATATACAAGATTGTCGCACTTTTCAGTTTGCAATTATTGCTATCAATATGCAGACAGTACAGGTAAGTAACAGTAGCATTACTATCATAAAGTATTATCATTCGTTTTTTCATTAAATTAAGGACAACGACGGTCGACGTTTTTGATGAAGGTTGAAACCTTGTTATGACCCTGCAGACTTCTCCTTAATGTAACGGTGATTAACTCTTCAAGAGCAGCAGACATTTTGCATATGATCATTATTGATTCAACAAGAGTAAAAAAAAAAATCGAGTAAGTGATGTGATTGAATAGTTCGTATCGATTAGGTAAGAAGAGGATGGCATCAGCCTAAACTTATATACTACACTTAAATAATCATCATTTTATTTATACTAAAGAAATGGTCACAAAACAAGAACAACCCGATTGGTCTTCTGATCTTATTGATTCACTTTGGTTTCATATTGGTAATTATTTAAGTATAAATGATATTGATCGTCTAAGTCGAACATGTTCTCATTTACATACACTTTTCATAAGTAATGATTTTTGGTCGTATCTTATTCGGATAAAATTTGGTTTAGCAATATGGCGTCGTTTTATTAAAAATTCTTCTTTTTTAATTGATGATAACAATGAATGTTTTTCATCAACTAATCAATCATGTCGTTCAAAATTAATCTATTCTGAATTACTTAAACGTCAATGTATATCATTTAGTGATTTTAATCATATATCTTTTGATACAAATCGAAATTATACAACTATTTCTGATTCATCAAGTCTTAATGGTGATGTACTCTATATACATGATTCAGTTGAATTTTGTTATTCACTTCATATTGAAACAAAATTTAAAAATATTCTTCCGGGACGATATGATGTCATTTTTCGTATGAAACTTGATTTACCATATATGTTAGGTGATACTGAATTTGTTGCTTTTGCTGAACAAATAAATTCTAGTAAAATGACATATTTACGATGGACACAAGATGATTTTTTATCAATGTATCGATGTTTTAGTTGTGATTTAACACAAACAAATTTATGGTTTTATCATAGTATTGGTATTGTTGAAATTCATGGTAATGAACGTTGTAATGTTTATATATCAATAACAAATCATGATCCAATACATGCTAAATATGGTCTTTATTTAGATTATGTTGAATTAAAACTTCGATCAGAATAGAAGAACGCAATCCACTTTCTTTCTCTTTTCTTTTTGTTAATCATTTTCTATTTGATATTTATATCAATAGAAAGAAATATTTTAATTTGTTATATGACGTGAGAACATTTGTTTTTTTTTTTTTAATGTGACTAACATTGTTTTCATGTTTATTTTGTAAGACTGACTATACTGGTAATTCAATAAAATAAATTCATTTATAATATATAAACTTTATTTCATACGTGGATATACAAAAAAAAGAAAATTTTGATTTATTCATTTTTATAACTTATAAGACTCGATATGACTTAGAATTGTCAGTTTTGCCATTTAGTAGAGAAATTATTTTTTTAATGTCATCATTGATTAGTTGATTGGTTCTATTTGAAGGTCATAGTACATGATCGATGACAACAAAGTTGATTAGATAGATACAATTCGTTACATATTTCAATAATTTTCACATATGAAAATATTCATCTGTTAAATACAAAATAATGATGACAAGTATTTTCAATGAAATTCATATTGATACGGACCTATATTGAATATGTATAAAACTAAAGTTTTTCATTAGTGAAATATTTTGCTGATATGATTAAAAAGCTGTTAGCGTAACTCTTGCGAGATCTTTATAGTCTTTCATGTATTTGTTTCTGTCTTAAGACGAATTTCAAATTTCGATTGATATTTTTCTCAAATTTAAATTTAGATAAGATAATCTAACCTAACCGGTAAAGTTGCTTTAAACTAACGAATTAATCTTGATGAAATTCGTGTATGTGTGTATTCCAATCATCATGTTGATTGTATTATAAGACTTTTTGCTATGATTAGAAATTTCATCGAAAAATCATCATTAGAAACAATCAAAAAAAAGGTATTGATGTTAAAATATTTTTTATATCAACGTTCTAGATAGTTTTTTCGCCGATAAAATTATGTACATGATTATTGATCACTAGATCGTATGTGTCATTGCTTGACGTTGTTGTCTCTTTCGAGGTTTGTGTTTCCCGTACAATCTTACTCATTAGTTCGTTATTATTTGCTTCAATGTGATTGTTTGTCTTGGATGGATTGAAATTCTCAGATTGATAAAGAGGTATAGTCGGTACATGTTTATTCGAATTGCCGGACACAGGAAGCATTTGCATACGATCTATTGGATTATGAAATTCTAGTTCATCGATGACTGCTTCAACACCTGTTGAAAGAAAATCCGTTTGACTTATCCTTCGTACGTAATTCTTGTTTTTTGGAAAATCATGTTTATTCAGTGGATTTTGACGGGATTGATTAGTGCGGTCAGATTGGATTAGTTTCTTTGTTTTTGTTGGCTTTTGATTTTTCGAAAGATATATTGCTTGCTTCTCTGATATTTCTGTCACATCTTCCAGTACTTCAGCACCAGAACTATTGTTATACATTAACATGTTGACATTACCTAATTGTAACACGGCAGATGTCGAATGCTTTGTTTCTGAAGAGTCGTCTAACTGTTGAACAATATAAGAATTGTTAGAATGCATTTGACTAGCAGGACTACTAGTCATCACCTGCAGAGTTCTGTTTGTCAAAGAGTTTATTTGAGCTTCAAAGCGTTCATGTTCACATGTTGTTTCTTGACAAGAATTCTTTTCATGATATTCTTTTTTCGTGTGCAAAATATCTACTAGTCCACCACATTTCTTGATACCAAAGGCTATAATAGGATTTCTACAATAGCCAGCAGCTTGCAGAGGTACCTGAATACAGCCGAGATCCATTTTAGGTCCTGGTGTTGTAGGACCAAAGTCGACGAAATCATATTTTTTATCGAGTGCTTCTTTAATTACCCATTGAAGCATAACAAAATACGCTTTCATAGGTCGAGCTTTTTCATGTGTCAATCCGTGAATATCAGTGGTGAAAAGTTTATTTGGAAATTTGAAAATAACTGAACTTGCGATGACTTCGTTATTAAAACGAAGAAAAACTACTGAACGATACGATTGGTTCATTACGTGACCCATCGCTTCAATAAATCGCGCGGACGGATGTGCTAATGTGGGTGGTTCGTTTTTTTGTTGTCGAAAGCGTGCAATATTCTCCCATTGATGACAAACCATTGTGCTCACTTCAATTCTGTTCAAATCATGGACTTCGTCTATGATACCACCTTTATCGAGAAATTGCTGAAGATAACGTCGACGATTGGTTCTTTTTAACGTTTTCATATATTCGTCCCATGTCTTACCATGATGTGGTCGCAAATCGAGCAAATGAGTCGGTGGTAGAGGTAGAGGAAAGAATCCGGCATCATAGGTAGCTCTGGCCACTGGTTCAGTACTAAGTGCCGGTAAAAGAAGAACATTGCAACGCAAATTCGACTTTTGCATTTCGTTCCATTCGATTACACTTTGAAGGACATTAGCCGCACGTGTTACAACGTTATCTTGATACGCTGTGAAGAAGATGCCTGTTCGAAAGGGCCACTGATAACCAAGTAAACCTAGTCGAAGGACAAATGGACGAAAACAAGGTATGCAATTTTTCGAGCCAAGTGTTCGTTGAAGAATTCGACTCCAAGAGTCTTTAATCACACCAGATATAGTCGTATCATAATTGTGAATGATCGTAAGGAAGACAATGGCTTCCGTGTCATCCCAATGATCGATAAAAATTGGAATTCTTCGAGTAGGTCTAGCAACGCGTAAGACAATACTGGTAACATTATCCAATTGACCTTGTTCATAGGCCATCATCAATTGTAAAGCAGCATCACCAGTCATTCCGTCTAATGTTTGACTATATGCATCAATAGCTGCAGCCCAATGTTTGATATAGACTGGCGATTGTTTACTCAATTGAATTCTCTCTACTATTAGTCCATTTCGATTAGATAGACTTATCTTCCTTAAACTGTGCAAGGATACAATGTTGAGCACCAATAAAATACATCGTAGAATAGAGAGTACTATATCTGTAGGAATCGAAGCGTTCACATCAGGTGACGTGTTCTTATTATACAGCGTTATATAGAAGAAAAATTGAATGAAAGTGAACGCTACGACAATTATTATGCCAATTGGACATGCAATATTGAAAATGTACCGTATTCTATTTCGAAAATTGTTCAATCGATTTCCTTTTCCATAAATGAGTGTAAGACTAATACCAAGAATTCCCAAAAATATTGTGTATATAGCACTTGCTTGAGATATTATATAATACCATTGTGGTTCATGACCGCCAAGTGCACTAGTAGAAAAGAAGAGATGTGTTCGACTATTCGAAATTAATGCTACTGTAGAAATGGCGATGAGAATCATCGACGAAAAGAAGAGAACAGCACGGGAAAATCTATATTTTGGACTCCAAGCAAGGATTCGATTCCACAAAACGCATAGTGCGTAACCTAGCACAGCTAGTAGAAGTAGTACAATGCTGACAAGCTTGGCACTACTGTGTAATGGTGTGTTCTTCTGAAGAGCACTAGCCCATGAAATAAATTGAGTAATAAGAAGGATGACAAAGATGATGAAGCAGATAATATTAATTAATAGATGAATATAATTACAACGCTGATAGTGGATCATTTTATCTTTTGGTTGTTGTATTTGTACAAGCTCGTAAATGGCTAAACAAAGACCAAATATTGCATTTAGAATGCCAAAAATGAGTAAAACCGTCCCAAATATGAAATAGCTCAATTTGTCATATGCATGTTTGTGGTATCGACGAGCCATGTTGAAATAGACATGAATGAAAAGGATAATTAAGCAGGCGAGGAAATTGTTGACATTGATAATGATAAGTTTTCTAAGATCACGTCGAACACCACGCTTCAGCGACATATCTACTTCGCTATGTATAAAAGAAAAAACTAGCATTATCCAATGAAAACATTTCGTATTGAGAAAGAGCACTTACGGTATGTAAAGTGTTTCTAGACTCTGTCGATCACTATTCATAGGAACAAGTTTTTTTTCTAACAGATCAAAAATCTAAATCGTTTGAAAGAAAAACAAATCATCATAATTTTATACTTATTTTCTTCAACGAACGGTTCACGTGCTTAGTTACATCTTTCTAGAAAAAAAGCACAGCTTCGCGAAAGTGTATTTGTGTGTTGTACATCTATCAGGTATTAGAAATTAAAGACTTAGATAAAGAATAGATACAGATTTCGCTTTCGAAACTTTCTTTCTAATATTCATTTTATTTTCTATCATAAAGTAAATATTTTTACAAAGTAAAAAAATTCGAAGTACTGAAACTGTCATATGTTTTTCGAACAGAAAGAGAATGATATCCAAAATTATGAAAAAATTCTCAAAAAGTATCATTCGAACTGATTTCATTTCATTTAACTCAAATAAGACAGAATAGAAAGTTAGAAATAAAATATTTCTGGCAAGAGACATTACCAAAACTACGAAATCGTTCAAACTCGACCATGAGAAACTTATTTTGGCTGCGCATAGCTGCTTCCACACTCAAAATATCATCTATCTCCTACCGTGTTATACTGTGTTTTATTTACATGGAAAGCTTGTCCAATTTCCTCTATTACATGACATATGTAAGTATGGCAACATATTGTTCATCCTCTTTTCTTTTAGATGACATGATTCGCTTGTATGTATAATATGACAAAGTTTCTTCAGTACTGAGCTTATGAAAACAGCGATCGATTTAGAATTGGATATCATGCGATAGATTTTTCAAAGCTCTAAAACAATGATACTATTAGGTTGAGTTTCATTTAATTGTCCTTTTTGATTAATTTTTTAATCGGTTTTAATCAGAATGATCAAGCTTCCTATAAACTAAAAGAGATATATTTTGGAATCAGCATAAAAAACTAAGTTGATGCATATGTATTACGAAATTCTGCGATAACTATTATTTTCATCGTAAAATACAGTCCTAGTCTCCGTCAGGGTTATTTTCACAGTCAAATTGACATTTTAACTGACTTTATTTTTCCATGCAACCTGAGAGCACCACAGCGCTGCATTTTAAGACAAAAATAAAAGTTGTCGGTGGATTTTGTGACACATATACATAGACTTGGTTTTATATGTTGATTCCAGATATATCAGAGTTTTTTTGGCACTTATGAATCTTGTATGTTTGACTAAAGTGTCTTATCCGCAAATGAAGCTCAATCTAATAGTATGAGTTTCTTAGAATTTTGAAAAATCTATCAAATGATATCGAATTCTAAATGGACTGCTGTTTTCATAGCTTAGTACTGTAGAAGCTTTACACTCACATATGCCATGTGCTAGAGGAAATTGGACAAGCTTTTTATGTAAACAAGACACAATATAACGCTATAGGAAATAGATGATTATTTTGAGTGTTGAAACAGCTACGCGCAGCTAGAATGCATTCTAATGATCGAATTTGAACGGCAATTGACTTCTGCCATTTGAATTGACTATTGGAGAAATAATAAACTTTTTTTTCGAGAGTAGGCAGATTTCATTAGAAACTAATTGACTATATTTTGAAGTCATTAGAGATGTTACTAACATGGAAAGTTCTCGTTCAAACTGAATCTTAAATAGGACAATTTCACTTTTTGCGAAAGAATGATGGAATAGAAATTTGAAAATTAGAGAGTTTTCTCTTGTCTTGATATGACGTTTTGAGCATGAAAATACTAAAACAACGTATATACATGGGGCACTCCAAAAGTTTTTTCCCCCGGTTCTTCTAAAAGCCTCAGTTTGAGTTCAAGTACTCTGTTATAATGCTTAGACATATTTAGGATATTGTGCAAAATTTCAGACTTCTAAGTCTTGTACTTTGCTGTAGCCGATCATTTCTTTTACGCTAGGTCACGCAGTCTGCTAACGGATGACCCATCTTGTATGAGAGAACTTTGCGTCTCATATTTTGATTCCTAAATTCCTTCTATTAGAAAAACAAAATATATTAGAAGATGCAGCGTGAAAAGCTCTATAATCTACGCAGGACAATTAATTTTACAGTTGCATTTTTTGTGTTAAAAATTCGACAAAGTTGTGAGCAATCAAATTTTGATGTTGCAAAAACAATGTTTTTTTGATTAAAGATTAATTTGCTTCGTTCTTATTTCATCTTGCTTTATCTGATATTTTCTATTAAACAAAAAACAAAACATACCACAGTATGCAGCGTGAAAAGCTCTACAATTTGCATAAGATACCTTATTTTACAGTTGCATTTATTTGTTTCGAAAACCGACAAAGTTCTGAACGATCCAATTTTGACCTTGCAAAAAAGTGTTTTTTTCGTATGCGATGAACACGCTTTTTTCTTATTCAGCATCTGATATGTTGTGTTTCAAAAAGGACAAAATATACCACAGGATGCAGCGTGAAAGACTCTACAAATTACAAACAACAGTTTATCTTAACTATATTCTTTTGCTTTTTGGAAAAAAGCAAAATTCTCTGAACTACTTTTCGCAGAGTCCAGAATTGGTCACTCAGAATACTGTTTATTTCGAAGCAAAACATGCACAATCAACATAAGCTTTACATTGCAGATTGTACAGCTTTTCACGCTGCATCTTCTGGTATAGTTTGTTTTTAAATAAAATTTTGTTAGGGATCAAAATATGAAATGCAAAGTTCCGCCATTTTTTTTGTAAGTCACCCGTTATGTAGCTTATAGAAGATGCCATGTTATTAGCGTAAAAGAAATGATTGGCTACAGCAAAGTACAAGACTTAGAAGTCTGAAATTTTGCACATAATTCTAAATATGTCTAAGCATTATAACAGAATACTTGAACTCAAACTGAGGCTTTTAGAAGAACCGGGGGAAAAAACTTTTGGCGTGCCCTATGTATATTCATAGTCACCTATCTCTTCTTGAAAAACTATAGATTTAGTCAACTATTGACAATTTGAAATAAGAAAAACCAGTTAAAGTTCTGCAAAACTACCTAGTATATTAGTTTTCGTGACTACAAATCTATACTATTTCATATTAAAAAAGAAAATTTCCTCGTAGGTAATGAACTTTACATCAAGCCAAACCTTTGTATATACATACTCGTAAACAGCACAATATGATTCATATCAATTATTTTTAGTTTTCCCAACTTACTTTCATATGGTAAAAAAAAAATAAACGAATATTTTGTTTCTATAGTATTACGACACGGGTTATTTATGGGTTTTACATGAATCAAATGCATCCTAAAATAAAAGTATACAAAATACAGAATCAAAGATCAAATCTAAGACTCGAAAATTACTTGATGAAAAAAACTAAACAAAAAACCATCACCAAACACATATTTGCAACTGTTTCAAATCATAACTATGTGCTACTATGTTTGGTTCTGTAAACTATTAGTACGTTTTTCTTGTTTTTTTTACTATTATAAGCTGCACTTATCGACAACATAATTAGGAGAAGCGATTGCAAGAAGAAGAGAAACATATATAATCTAAATCATAAAAATAGAATATATTAATATACATAAAGAAACGAAATTTGAAATACTATAGTATGCTTTCACTTATTTCAACATCTTCCTATCATGATTTTATTCTTGGAAAGAAAAAAAAAGATCAAGCAGTAATCTAATAATAAATACAGAAGATATATTGTCATTTACTTATTGTGAGTAGCTATTATTACTTAATATTGTATTCTTTTACTTATACACCCTACAGCGGTTCGAAACAATGAGTCAGCAAATTTTTTCAGTGATCATAAAATATGTGGAGGATGTGTAACACGTGCATGAATAGACGAATGATAAAAAATTATTTGCTACCAAT